ACGTGCCGAATGGGACGGGTGCTTAGAAAGGATGCCTTGAAGAAACTAATCGTGGATGTGACGGTCAATGATGCATTACTGCAACGCTGTGAGAAGACAGTAATATATATAAAAGCGTATTTTTAAGGCATACAAAGTATACGTGACCGTGCCGCTGTGGATAGCATGCCCGGCATCTGTTGTCGCGCGCCTAGAGATCATGGGTTCGACTGCCGTTCACGGAGCTTTTTAGATGCGAAGCTGCTTATGACGGAGACATGTCCTTTGTCGCACCGTAGCTGTCGTTTACGATGACGATAATGCTGATGACGATGAAGAACAAGCGCGTTCCAGACCACACACTCTCTTTCTGCCATCGAGACACCTGCAAGATACCTGCTATACGCCATGACGATGAAGCTCATGATGATGAAGAACGAGCGCGTTCCAGATCAGTCATTTTCTTTTTGCTATCATGGCACAGCTCATGCGGGGTGCCTGCTATATGCCATGACGATGACGCTCGTGATGATGAAGAACAAGCGCGTTCCAGATCAGTTATTTTCTTTCTGCTATCACGGCACAGCCCATGTGGCGTGCCTGCTATATGCCATCACGATGACGCTCATGATGATGAAGAACAAGCGCGTTCCAGATCAGTCATTTTTTTGCCATCACGGCACAGCCCATGTGGGGTGCCTGCTATATGCCATCACGGTGACGCTCATGATGATGAAGAACAAGCGCTTTCCAGATCAGTCATTTTTTTTTTGCCATCATGGCACAGCACAAGCAGGACTCACTGTACGCCATGACGATGACGATGAAGATGATGACGGTCATGGACAACGACTGGCTTACGCAGTATGCTACAGAACAGATTTATTCAAGTATTCATTTTTAGTTCGGAGCATCGATGACTGGAATCAATTACCTCAATACATAGTCGAACATTGCGATTTACAAAGGTTCGAAAGGCTTTGTCAGAATATTTGTAACCAAATTGCTTGTGCTTTGTTGGTTGAATATGTTCAATGTACTATATCAATATGTTCAATATGTACTATATTACTTCAAATATTTTTCCCTTTTTGGTGATATGTACGAGATGTATTCGAACATGTTTCTTTTATCCGTGACCTATGCGGGATGTATTCTGATATAGTTTTGCGTTTTTGTTTTGGTTTTTCCATATAGTGTGCGTCTTGAGCGTAAAGTGTAAAACTTGTTTCCACATATGTTCTTTGTACATGCCAGATATGTAACCCCAACTCCTGTCTTGGCCCTTGGCTGACAGTATGAATAAATAATAAAAAATATGACTTCTCGATATGCTCTATGATCCATTTCGTGCGACTGGAAACAACAAAAAACCACCTGGAGAACGTGCACAGCACTGGTCTTTGCCAACTTCATGCTAGATTCGATACTACAAAGCAGTAATAATAAAAGCAAAACGAAATTCACAACTCAGCAAACCACTTATGACCAATAAACACTGCATGTAGCTGTAGACCACTTTGTCACCCATTTACATGCTTGAATGGGCAATTTCACGGGTCATTCCAGTGACGGAAATGTGTCACTGAAGTATTGGGGGACCGCGGAATACAACATTTATCAGTTTAAAAAAAGACGGCGATGTGCGTCGTACAGCCTCTATTATTTCAATATATTTTGTGGACGAGAGGAACCAACGCTGAGTAAAATTAGTTCTATGCGAATTTAGTTCCCACGCTATTCTTAAGATAACGCTATTGGAAGCAATCTAGAGAGGTAAACATTTTGTTGCTGACGTTCCGGTGTCACCCCGTTTGCTAACCTCTTCAGTGGCTTCCGCATGCGACGAGTGCGGTAAGGCTGTTCGAGGATAACGCATGCGTATGCATGGCTTAAAAAAAAAAACACGAAAACTCTCGCGCTGTGTGTGTGTGTGTGTGTGTGTGTGTGTGTGTGTGTGTGTGTGTGTGTGTGTGTGTGTGTGTGTGTGTGTGTGTGTGTGTGTGTGTGTGTGTGTGTGTGTGTGTGTTTTAAGCGAAGCTGTTCAGCAAATCGTTCTCTGCAAGATTACCACAGAATGCTATCATCATCTTAGCGAAGTGAATGGTACCATCATACCTACGAAGTGAATGATGATGAGAGTCGAAGCTCCGGAGATAAATCTGGTAATACCCGAGTCCTCCGTACATTTTGCCCACTCGGTCATAGAAAGACGTGACACAAGCACGGTGATGGTGGGATACAGTTTATACACATAGATATAGAGAAAGGTTTGGTTGCTACGCAATGTTACCCAATCTTACACATGGTACGCAATGTTTTATTATTCTATCATATATTGGTGATGGCCGCTTCTTCAAGAGCTTTTTTTTTTCTCGGAGCTCGAGGGGGCGGCGGAGTCTCTCGTTTTGTTATAGTCATATAGGACTTTAGGCTGAGGGCAACATTTCCTTTGTTTATAACGGCTGTGTCATACATAAAGTAGAAAGCCAATGGATCTTGAATTAGATGTAGTATAAAGTTCGAGAAGGCAATGTCGATACAAGTTCCCCGGATAGTGGTGGGATGTTTGTAGTCATACGAAATGCACCGGCGAACGTAACGGTACACTGTGTTGAGCTAGCTAGTCGCCGTTCATGACGTGCACGTTGAAGTGTTGGTGGGAACGAATGGACTGTGTTTGCATTCACAGTGCAGCATCGTAGTGCCCGTTTCGATTCGCTTTCGTGGGCCCTCCACTCCGGGTTGCCTTGTCGACGAGACCATGCTGTTTAGGCTTAGCGTGCCCTCAGCCGCTTTGTGAGCCCTCCGCTCCACCACCGCCTTGTCTTCTTCGTCTTCGTTGCTTGTTGTTGTTGTTGTTATTGTTGTGTCGCGGCGCATTGAGTGATGACCGTCGAAACACGGCGTAACCACGCAGCGAATGATGATGCGTAGACAAAGCAGTGGGATCTTCATCGTCATCAACGCCATCACAGTGGCGTAAAGTGGGCATCAAGTGTTTGGCTCTGGCGAACGCCAGTGCCACCTCCGAATAAGCCAGGACCTTGAGGAGCTTCGCCTCTAAAGTGTCCCTCGTCTATACGCCAGTTTTATGGCCAATTCATTGTAGTGTGAATGAGCCAAGAACTAAGGCACAAACAAGCAATCAGTCAGTCATTGAGTCAACAAGAACAGCCATATGAAGAGCGTTGTCGTCTCCACGCTGCAGTCGACAAGAGACAAGAATCAAGAATTGCTTCTATGCCGTGGATATCCGACTAGGAACGACATTGGCGAATGCTATATACCTCATCGTCTAATGTACGTGTCTGCAGCGTAGAGCTGGTAATGTTGTCAACCCTTCTGAGCAATTGCTTTGTTCTAACCAGCGAGTTGTCCATCTGTATTTGTCACTGTGCGAAGTAAGAAAATACCGACCTGGTTTTGTGAACTCCAGTCGCTGGCACGGTCTTTCAACAACAACCGGCGTTTTCTGTGATTTCGAGGAGCATTTCCATGCAGGGACCATTATCTCCATGCTTGTAATGTGGCGAGAGCATCCCGTTGACAGTTTATACAACTATCACCACAGCGCGTTGCATTTCCCAGCAGAGCCAAGCGTTTAATACTCGAAACCATCGAGTACCGCATGGAGGACGTTGTTAACTATCGTTTTCCGCAGTGCCCGTGTACAATATATCACACCCGTACCGGGCTGGGTTTTGACAGTGAAACCACATACTGCCACCGCATGAGCGTTGCGCATGCCACAAAAAGCCTCAAATCAAAGGACACAAACTTGAAATACGAAGAGTCGCAACGCCATTATAAGACAGAAGATATTGTCGAGCTTATACATATACTGAATAAGTGGAGACTCGCATGGTCTATTAACCATACAAACGGCAAATGTTAAATGTGGGCTGGTGCAAATAGTGGCCAGGCAGTTATTTTTGTTTCCGTAATGGTAATGGCAACCTAAATGTGCCAGGGTACAAGCAATTATTAGTTAGAGAGTTACTCAAGCGATCATAACAAAAGACTTCATTTATTGAAATACCCTATCGAACCCTGCCGTTGGAGAGGTTCAACAACTGCATTAATGCGTTTGACGAGGCATGGACAATAGCCATATTTTCACGTCGGAAACATCAGCTCTCAAATATAAGTTAAATTCCATTCAGTCCTAAGAAAATCAAAGCATCAGTAGCCCTAATCGTGAAGACATCGCAACAAAGAAACATATAGTGATAAAAAAGAATTAATAGTTAACAACGGTGCAAAAAATCACAGCATATCCACGGGGTGAATGATGATGAGTGGGCGAAGCTACGGAGGGAATCATCGTTAAACCGTGAGTCTTCCATGTAATTCGTCGTGTCGATCATCATTTAATGACGTGAGAAATGCTGTGAGTGTATGCCGTGCCGCTTGGGCCTCCCGCTCTCGTATACGGCAGGACCTTGGTAGCGCTGTCGCGCAGCTGCACGGCGCGCCAACAGCGAACGAATTTTATTACAACGCTCCTCCTAGCGTACGTCGCCGCACTAATTCGAACGATTGCCTTCCACTAATGACACATGCCATGTGTTACATCGTTTCTATTAAAACATCTCACATCTTTCATTATCAACGACAGGTACCGCCATCTAATTTTATGACATCTCGCATTTATTCATCAACTACAAGTACTTTCATCTATTTTTATAACATAGATGGATGGATGGATTGATGTGGCTGTACCCTTTAGATCGGGCGGCAGCTAACGCCACTTAGCCGTAATACTTAGTGAACCAACAACTATATTTATCCTTTTTTCCCCTTTAAGTAGTGAAGTTGAGGGCTGGTACTTTGCAGTGAAGGATATAATTTTCACTCGTGCCTTGACTTTATCCACCAATCAGGTAACCTCCTTGTAGTTAATTCTACCCGCTTAAAGTCTATTGGAAGATCTCGCATCAACTACCGCCATCAAGTGAACACTGCAAGAACTAAACTAGAGGCAACTACAACTACAACTACAACTACAACTGCATACCTCAGAGGATGTAGTTGTCCTAAAAACATGGGACACAAAAAATGATGAGAACACAAGAACGGGCACCGGACTCGCAACACATTTTTATTGACGTCGATTCACACATATATACACGCACATGGTCACTAAAACCACGTGTTACATACAACACGCAAGGTTTTGCCATGGATTCCTATTCAAATAAGATATTTCTTTTTGTTGCAAGGTGATAGATGAAACGCTGATACACGAGTTAGTGTTAGCAGTGTGCAAATCCTCTACTATCTCTCGAGTTGATCAATACCCCGGGCGATGATGCTAGCTTTATCGAATTGAGGGACGCACCCACACTCTCCTGCAATGTGCACCTGTGTGGCAGGGCGTCCGTGCGACAGTTGGCATCGTGTTTGGTCTATCTCAGATTGACATGCCTACCGGTTTGTCCTATGTATATTGCGTCACAAGAAAAAGGAAATTTATCCACAACCCCCATGGCGCAGTCAACAGCTTTGGAACGGCGGCTGGCGCCGCATCCTGCACTTTGCTTCTCATTTCTTTCTTTTACTTTTTTTGTTTACGCACGCACATCTTTGTTGCAGCTTTTTAGGCACTGGAAAAACTATGCTCACATCAAACCAGTTCCCCACGTTTTTCAATCCATGCGATGCCCGGCCGCGGTGGTCTAGTGGCTAAGGTACTCGGCTGCTGATCCGCAGGTCGCGGGATAAAATCCCGGCTGCGGCGGCTGCATTTCCGATGGAGGCGGAGATGTAGGCCCGTGCGCTCAGATTAGGGTGCACGTTAAAGAACCCAGGGTGGCCGAAATTTCCGGAGCCCTCCACTACGGCGTCTCTCATAATCATATGTGGTTTTGGGACGTTAAACCCCACGTATCAATCAATCAAGCAATCAATCCATGCGAGATCTTATGCACATGCATATGGTACTACAGCTATTTTCTTGTTATTTTGCAGGTTATTGTTTATTTATTCTCCGTTGTTAACTATGAACCCACACCTACTCGCCCAAATTTCAGTGCTACTGCAAAAATAGTTCGTTCTGCATTTTTCTTGATGACCTACGAGATTTCGCGGACTAAGACCTTTCATTCCACGGCACCACAGTTATAGCATGTAATGACAATGTAATCGCCATGTCGCAAAACTGGACACAAAACACGCAGTCGGTAAACTCAAGGTAATTAAGAAGCATTTTATGTTTAATATAGAGTTGGCTGTCAATACGTAATCGGGTATCTCGTTCTGCTTTCCCTATGCCTATGGCTACGACTCCCAGAGGTCAGCGACGCTACTAGTGCCGCTTTTCGTTCTTGGACGCTTAGCGAGCTAAACGATCCCACCCGTTGCGGTCTTTCGACGTAAACTTCGGGAAGCCATTGTATCGCTGCGACGCTTAGCAGAACCATGAAGGCCGACAGGGCATAAAACACATGACTGGCATGTTGTTCGGTAAGGAGTATGACGGCAATGGCTACGACGTCGCCTAAACCACCGGTGAGATGCGCTAGGCTGATGCCGACGTTCCGTACAGCCGTCGGAAAGGTCTCTGCCGTATAGCAAAACGTGACGGCTGTTGCGCCGGACAAGGCCACTTTCAAACCTTCGTGCACAAACCGCCTCAACGTATGTTGGCCGGCGACGATCACCAGCGTTTCCAGAACGCAGAAGGCACTCAGTATGGCCAGAAGAGTGGACAAAGTCTCCTTGACGCCGTATCTCCGTATGCAAACGCAGATGGAGGCCACGTAAGCCGCGAAAGCGATGACATGTGCCACCTCCCAGGTAACCCCAGTGGTCACGTCACTAATGGTGATGCCAATGAAGGTGGCATCTAAAGCGAACCTCGCCAGTAGGGCGGACACTCCGCGACGTCGCGTCTTAACAGCCTCCAATACACGCTCTATTGGAGCCGCGTTCGGGGGATCCTCGTCCAACTTGTACAGCTGCTCCTTGACGACCGTAAACGTCGTCTGGGCCTTTGGTACATCAACGCCGTTTTCTTTGGCTGCCAGCAGCAACACTCTCTCGGCTCTAGCGATGTGTCGTGTTGCGATGAGCCAGGCGGGCGACTCTTCCTGCAGGTAGCACCAAACCGCCAGCATGACACCACTGATTACGGGGAGCGCCTGGGCCAGCATCCAGCGCGGTTCCAGAAGAGAAAGCGCATGCATCAGCGGAGGGACTACGGTGAGCGGTACTGCAGTGTCCAGGATAGTGAACGTCGAGCGACGCTCATTTCCTGTCACCTCGTGGATCAGGATGAATGTGTTAAGGAAGGTCACGTCGGCCGCCACGAAGAGCAAGATCCGTGTGGAGACGAAGAACGTGTACGTCTGCGAGAAGCTGCATGCGACGGTGGCCAAGAGCTGGACGAGCGCGCATATCAGCATCACCGGTTTCCTGCCCATGCGGTCTGATGCCAAGCCAAGCAGGGGCGCTACGAAAGCGGAACCGATGATGGGTGCGAGCGAGGACAGGTCGTACAGGTACTTCCGGTCGCAAACGAGGTCGAAACGACTCACGATGCTGTCTGCCTTGTTCGCGATGTCGTAGCCCCACTCGTGGCAGGGAACAGCGGTCCTGTTTTCTTCTTCGCCTACCTGCATATAGAATGTGCCAGAAATGATATCGGAGGACGCTCAAGAGTGGAATTAAGGTGGTAGCGTTATCGTGCTCTTCACCTCTGTAGCGAAGTGCTGGTTGCGTGTCTGTAACGCTGCCACGCAGAAAACTTGGGTTCGATTTGAACTCAAAGCGTCGGTTCACAGTGAAATCCCTTATGAGATCGCAGCAGTATATTATGCTATATAGCTAGGCGTCCGCATTCGCTATCGGCGGCATTCGTAACCAATAACGCGAGAAAGGAGAAAAAAAATCACGCCATATCCACGGAGTGCATGACGATGAGTGGGGCGAAACGTCCGCCAGTCTTTTCGTCCGTCCGTACGTCCGTGCATCTGTCCGTGCGTTCATCCGTGCATCCGTTCATCTGTCCATGCGTCCATCTGTCCGCGCGTCCGTCTCTGCGTTCGTCCCTGCGTTCGTTTATGCGTCCATCCATACATCCCTGCGTTCATCCATCCGTCCATGCATCTGTCTGTCTGTTTGTCTGTCCGTCCGTGCACCTGTTCATCGGTCCGTACATCTAGCTAACACTTTAACTATACCGCCAACTCGCACCTTTTCAACATATATTCATCATATAGTAGTACTTCAATTCAGCGGACATTCCAAGGACTAAATGCGAGGTTGCACGGCCGGACTAGCACGCGTGCACTCTCTTATAGCCTGCGCTTTGTGTTTATAGTTTCCATCTTTCTACGCGGCTAGTTCATGGCCCTGCGGCCCAACCTCACTAAATCTTGCTGAAATCAAGGAGTTTACGCCCAGCGAGTTTAATTAATGTGTGGCAACTTTTTTCTGGTCAGATAGTGCTCAAAGTGCGTCCTTTTGTTACTATTTCTTTGTAGGCATCAAATTCAAGGCTATTTTTATTGAATATTAAGTCACCGATGCCCGTCTTTGAAGGTTAGTTTATCAGAAACTACATTTTTATTTACGATTAACGTGCGCGTGTTTGCTCCTCAATTCAAGAGAGTGCGCGCGTGCAGCTCCTCTAGTCCGGCCGTGGAGGTGGCTACCTACTACTACTGTAGTATACGACGACGATGACTACTACTATACGATTACATACATCGCAAACACACTATACACGACTTAAGAAGCTTCGCCCCTAAAACGTCGAGAATCGGTCGAGATTTGATCCCAGGCCTTCTGCGTGGCAGTCTAATGCTGCACCACAATGTTCGAAACTTGTGATGTAAACTGCTACTTAAAAACACTCTATGCAGGCATTTCGGGCAAGTATCCACGCTGGAAAACGTGATATAGCGTGATGATGATGATGACGAAAACATTTTAATATTCGAAGCGAACGGGGAGTGTCCATATTCCAGGACACCTATGGCAACCTCTGAGACAGCCAGGCCCCACTGAACGAGCTCCCCGCAGACCTCGGGGGCTCCGCCACGAAGGGTGTTTATCCACGGATAGAAGAGAAGCATTACAACCAAGCGTCTTAGAATGCGAATCGCGCAACGATGGGGCAGCTTGAAGCTGCACGTATACTCAGTACAAAGGGCTCAGCCAAAATTCATCGTCACCAACCACAACATAAAAGCGTACATAAATGCCTTAAAGATCTCTAGCGGCCCGGTCACTTGTCCACACAGTGACGAATGATGGCACAGCAGGTGATTCCTTGCTTCGCGAAATTCATATTTTATGGCGTATAGTGGGCGCTTTCTAAGTACACTTGTACCAGTTGCCCCCGGAACTATTTATGATGACTCCAGAAAAGCCGCTTTTCCAGTCAGTACTTTCGTTGAGTTGAATATAATTGAGCTGATCAAGAGCTGAAGTTAGAATATGCTGAAGGAACCATGTCAATTTATTTTATCATCATATTTTATTTTATGCCAGTTTATTTTGTCGCCAAGGCACCCATGGGTGGAGTCAATATTAGTGGCCACGGTACTAATCATTCCAGAGTACTTAGTGCCCTGTTTAACCGCCTGGAAAGGCATTCAATTAATACGTACGTCTAAAAATGTATCATTAGTAAGCATTTCTGGTAGTTTTCTCGCATGCGTACACATTTACACTCAGCGAAAAACAAGCAAAAGAAGGTGCCGCTGAGACACACAACACCCAACTTTGTCGACAGGCTGAGCCTTGACGCCGAATTTGATTGTAACCAATGGAACGCAGGTGCGCGTTCATGCATGCGCTAACTTCGACCATTTCGTATACCATTAGTTATAAAAAAAGCGGCCGCAGCCAGAGCTCCGAAAGATTCCGAGTTTCCCCGAACTAGAACCATCCTGTATAGCGTTCCAGCCATTTAAAAGGGCGTATGTTATTAGTGAAATGATCAACTTCCCCTCATGTGCGCCAGTCTAAATTGAGGATTCAAGGTCTGATTTCGTTACGATTTTCTTCAATTTCGTTCGTAATAAATTTATGAAATCAATAGTATGTGGAGTTTTGAGCCCTGAGCTTCCGTCGTATAACATACAGTTCACAATCACGTAACTTTAATTCCAAGCGCGTTCTAATATTAGTAGCCTTATTGCAGATAGATCATTGACAATACGCGAATCTGAGATAAAGCAGGAAAGGAGTGCATGAGTGCTTCGTCTGCTAACTACTTAGACAGTAAATTCCGTATCTCTTAAATTGATGTTTCATATGGGCATGTTAATAAGCTCCTTGGCGCATGTACCGCCTCTTATCCTTTCAGTTTGTTGCTTCTTCTCCTCGCTCACCCTGTTGAGAGTTCCGGTCATCTCAACAATGAACTGGTTGGAAGCGTGCGCTTCGTCTCACCTCATTTTTCTTTTTCCTGGAACGTTTTACCGTGGTCCTTTAATAGACCATGGTTTTACGCAGGAAAAAAAAAGGGAGGGGGAGGGTTCCTTAAAAATGCATTCCGAAGTAGCTAATCCAGCCATGGCACGCTGTCGCAGTAGGCGACTTTAGTTGAAGTTCGAGCGCATTGCCAATTTGAGAAACACAACCGCTTACCGGCACAGGCGGGTCATACATTGTGCATCTGCTGTAGCTGCCGTCAGCCTCGACGGGTACGGAAAGGTTTTTCCAGGCGGCGGCCGACAGAAACGACAAGTGCTCCGGGGCCCTGCACCAGTGATCGACCTGCCTGCCGATGAGTCTGTACGCGAGGTAGTGGAAAAATGCCACTGTCACGGAGAGCATTCCACACGTCAGAACCCGGCGCTGGTACGGCCCGTGGCCCAGGACGACGTATGTATTGGCTTGAACTGCGTCCCAGGTGTCTATTGCGACGAACCCTGGCAGTAGCTCTGCACAGGAAGGGCTCACCGCACCGGAAGATGCCCGCGATGTATTGTTGTGATGGGCGTTGGACTTCAAGGCGCACATGGAGGCCTGTGTTTCCGCGTCCACTGGCGCTTTTGGTTGAGCAGCAGCCCCTTGAGGCTCCTGAAGCCCGCTTGTGGGTGTCGTTCGTTCCAGCGGGGAGACATCCTTCGGCGGTTGAGGAGTTGGTCCTTCAGATGCCTGGCTGACTGGCTTCGTGGAATTCCGGCACGCTGCCTTTCTACGGCTCTTGCTGCTGCTACTGCTGCCGGTGCGCATGGATTCACTAACTGTCGATCTAGGCTTAGCTGATCCATTGCGAGTGTGAGCTTTAGTGCGGATGGAGCTGGAGCCACACTTTGATTTCTCGGACGTAGGCATCACGGCGTCCAGTGTCCGTCGCGACGTTTGTCTCCTTGTACTTGGTCCGTTTGGAAGATGACGGATGTGTGCTTCCAAGGACGTCCCAGGAAAGGAAAATCGCTGCTGCAAGCAAGGCTGTTCTTCCTCTTCTTCGTATTTTTTGAAGCGTGTTGCTCGTGCTAAAAACCCCAGTATTCATATTCGAGTTGTTACATTGGAAGCTAGATACTATATTTCATTGAATACAATATATTTTCAACAATAGAGGGAGTGAAGCGACGCTCATCTGTGGTAAAAAAATAAAATATGTGAACCGGTAAAGCTCGCCTGTTAAAAAACTCTTGTTTTGTGCATAGCCATGGCTTCATGTTAAGTGATTGTGCATGCCTAGATGACGGTATTATGTAAGTACTTCTTAAGTCAGTAGAAAGAGCGTTAAACTTTATGACAAAGACGCCGACTTTTCTCCGTCTTTATGTAGTCGCGTGTTTGAAACTGTGAGGTATACAGAACTCAGCACAATAAGCAGCACTCATAGCTCAACGATAGCGGCGTTCATAATCATCGTTCGTTGAGAAAACTGGTCAACGAGTAAGGCGCGTCGGCATTTATACATGTACCATGACAATATGTACTCGCTCGAAATCTGCTATTAATAATGGTAGAGATGCTTCCGAGAAAGAGATAGAGAGGTATCACTGATTTAATGCGATTCACTATCGACACTTCCTGGCATGAGCAACATTGGCGTGTGAATTGTGGTGCAGGGAAGAAAAATGGAATCATACGTTTCTGCGTAGACAATCGTCGCCTGAACAGAATCACGAAGAAGGGCGTTTACTTTCTCCCACGGATAGACGGCTCGTTGAATTAACTCCACAACACGAAGTTCTCCTCGTCGCGGTACCTTAAAGGGACACTAAAGTCAAATAAAAAAGTCACAGGTTGACCGCAAGGTCAAAGCAATGAATGCGATAGCAACATCTTGGATTGTGATGCTGAGAATGGCTATCAGATCGAACGTGCAGCACGCCGCTCACGCACAAATGAGGCACAAAAGCAACACACGCAGGACACGAGCTAACTAACAACGTTTACAGATCGACGATTAACGCACTGTTTAAACAAAAACGATGCGCGAAACTTAATCATAGGTAGAGATATGAGTGCGAACTAACGAGTGTCCCAGTTGTTACTTCGTTGTGCTTGAAAAGGGCGCTCTTTTCGCAAACGGTTCCTGCCCAGTGAGCGAAGTGACTTTTGTGGCCTAGGCAACTAATTCAATCCTTCCGGTAAAAGCCAAGACACACGATTCTCCCCACCGGAGGATAAGCGCGCGCGCAGGTGCCGCACGCGGGTGGCTTTTTTTAGAGACAATAGTCTTTCTTGGGGATCTTCGATGCAAAAATTTTGGTCGTCTGTCTGTCTGTATTTTTGTCTGTTTGTCCCCTTCTAACAGCACCGGGTACTTAGAACGGCTGACCACATCCGCAGCGCCCACCAATGTTGCTCAAGACTCAGCGTTCATACTTGTGCGATTGTCAATTAAAAACAATTATCGCGCATGTCTGGGGCACCATAACAATACGTATATATGCTGCATGTGCGTCTTTTACTAGAAAAGGCATGCATGAGTAATTTTAAGGACCCTAGCACACATCAAGGTGCGCTTACCATGCAACGCTTGCACGATAAGGCGAGTGTTCCCAACGCTTTGCTAAGACGAGACGGTGATGGAACCTACCCGTCGCCTTGCGTTAGGCGCGCACACCCCTCTCAAAGCCACGCGCTTCGTTTTCCAAGAAAACTGCCAGATGGCGCTCATGCTTCACGCGTGACGTGACTTGGCGCGCTTGTTCGCCTCCCATGGAGGAAGGAAAGGACTTCCTCTGTGTTCGCCTCTGCTCACGGAGGACCCTCTGCTGCACGCTCGATGAATGGATGGATGAATCAATATATGTTGTACCCTTTAGATCGGGCGGTGGCTCACGCCACCAAGCCGTAATACTTAGTGAACCAAAAAACTAGATTTATTTTTTTTCCCTTTAAATAGTGAAGTTGAGGACTCGTACTTTGCACTGAAGGGTCGAATTTTCACTCGTGCCTTAACTTTAGCCACCAATCAGATAACCTCCTTCTAGGTAATTCTACCCGCTTAACTTCTATTTTGACCTCCCTGTCCCTAAACCTCAATGCTTTGAAAAACTCTGCGCCATCATCCTGAACTATAGGGTGAAGCCCTTTACAGAACATTATCAAGTGTTCGGCAGTTTTCTCTTACTCTCCACACGCACTGCATACCGTGTCTACCCCTTCGTATTTGGCCCGATATGTCTTGGTTCGCAATACTCCCGTCCTGGCCTCAAACAGTAGAGAACTACCCCGAGTATTATCATAGATCCTTTCCATGGCGATTTCCTGCTTAAAAGTTCGATAGATCTCTAGTGCGGACTTCTTAATCATGCCAATTCTCCACACATCGTTTTCAGCTTCCTTCACCTTCTTCTAAACCGATAATTCTTTTTGGTTTGACCCCTGCTGTTTTCTAAGTATTTACCAGTCAATCTTCTGGTTCGCTTCCTCCATTTTGTATCGACATTCTTCATGTACAAGTAGCTGAATACCTTCGTAGCCCAAGGCTCCTCCCCCATTTTCCTTAATCGCTTCACAAATTTTATATTGCTGCTAGCTTCCGTGCCCTCAACTGATGTCCATCCCATATCACCTTGTACTCCCTGATTTGGTGTATTCCTGTTAGCTCCTAAAGCAGGCCTGCCTATTCCACGTTGCTTAATTTCTAATTTTGCTTGAACTTCTTATCTCATGCACAAGACCGCATTTCCGAACGTCAGACCAGGAACCATGAACCCTTTCAATATTCCTCTCACAACATCATACCTATTGTAATTCCGCAGTGCCCTGTTTTTTTATCACCACTGCATTCCTGTCACCTTTAGTCGTCACTTATATTTTGTGTTGCCTTAGGTACTCGGCCTCATTGCTTATCCATACGCCCAGATATTTGTATTTATCTGTTATTTCTAGTGTGACCTCCTGTATTCTAAGCTCACATACCTTCATTATCATTAAAAATCATGACTACTGATTTTTCCTTACTGAATCTGAAATCTCCCTCATTACCGCAAATGTCCATCAATCTCTGCAAATCTTCCTTGATGTCAGCCATTCCTTGTTGTCGGCCTTGTTGTCGGCACTATATCATCTGCGTACATCAATGCTGGTAGTGCCTGTTCAATGAGTTTTCCTTGTTTGACGATAGAGAGGTTGAAGCCCAGTCCACTTCCCTCTAATTTGGCTTCTAATCCTTGTGGGTACATCATGAATAACAAGGGTGACAAAGGACACCCCTGCCTAAGCCTCCGTTTTACCTCTGCAGGCTTGGATACCTGTTTTTCTCGCTTTTTACTGCCTTGTTACCTTTATATAGGTATCTTTTAAAAGATTAGTGACTCCATTTTCTACACCTAGAGTGTCCAGTATTCCCTACAAGTCCACTTGAACCACGCTATCGTACGCTCTCTTGATATCCAAAAATGCTAGCCACAGGGGCCTGTGTTCCTTTTCTGCTATTTCGATGCACTGCGTCAGTGAGAACAGATTGTCTTCCAACCTCCTGTGTTTCCGAAACCCATTCTGCAGTTCCCTTAGCACCCCCTCATCCTCTATCCATGCCTGCAGTTTTTCCTTTATAATCTGCATCGCTAGCCTGTAGACCACTGATGTCACTGTTATAGGACGGTAGTTGTTTATGTCAGCTGTGTCCTTCTGTCCTTCATAGATCATGCTCATCTTGCTAAGTTTCCATCCATCGGGGACTTCATTATCGATTATTATTTTGCTCACTGCCTCTCTCAAAGCCTGCTTAGACTTCGGACCGAATGTCTTTATCAGCATAATTGGAATGTCATCTGGGCCTGTTGATGTACTACTAGAAACCCTCTTCTCAGCCCTTTCCCATTCTCGTTGTGAAAATGGAGCCATTGCGCCACTTGATTCATCCTTGTCTATTGTGGCGCATAAAGCACTTTTTTGTTGAAATTTTTTTGTCACCCTTGTTCTTTTATATTCAATAGCTTCATCCCCTTCTAGCCTAGCACCTTGAGCTGTAGTTATAAACCTCTGCTCTAGGCTCGTCTCCTTTCTTAGGGAGTTTAGATGGTTCCGAAGTTTTGCAGCTGACTTTCTATCTTTTTTATGTACTTCTGCCAGCCACTGAGCTCCCTTTCTTTTAATCTTTTCATTGATTAGAAGGGATGCATCCCTTCTACAGCTTAGAATGATTTCCCATTTTCTTTCAACATCATCTGTTGGTTCACCCCGCTGCTTAGCATGTCTGTGTTCCCTAGAGGCTTCCTGACATTTTGCTATAGCTCTGTCAACTTCATCTCACCAACTCTTGGGTTTGTGTCTTCTTTTTCGGGGTGACTTGCAACGTGCCTTAGCAAGCTCTAGCTCAAACAGTCTAATTAGATTCATGTATGTCCACACTGCTTTATTATCCTCAGTGATTACTTTCTCAATTTGTTTAGTAGCTATTTCTATTTGCCTTTCTGAATAAAAATTTTCCTGTAGTTGCTCATTTTGTCTCCTACCCACTTTCTCTGCTCTTCCAAAACTTAGCTTGACACGTTTTTGATCACTACCCAGACTTCTGGAGCCACCTTCATCTATGTGCATTCCCCTGAGCTTATCATACATCCTATGATGGATGTACGGCCCGGGCTTCGCCTATCTTAGATACTGGTGCCACTTTGGAATCGTATCTGTCTATACCATCTGTCAAAGAGTCGTCCTGGTTCTTTTCCTCGTTACTAGGTATCCTGCACCCCGAAGGGCCCGCGTGCCCTCCCAAGAAAGCTACTGCGCGTCCTGCAAGAGCCAATCCACCTCATGACCTAGCCGCTCATCGAAGTGAATTCTGTCTCATTGAAAACCACCCCACCGATGCACCTCTCTGTTTATTCCCACCACCTCAAAGCCTTTCTCTCGACTCACCCGCCATATCTCTCGGTTTGCATTGACAACCGCTCTTTGTCGGTTGTCGTCACGCACAGGTACCTCCGGTATCATGCATATCACTACCTGTACCTGAGGAGAAGTGGCGCGCATGTCATCGACCCCTTTCGCCAGTGTGGTCTCTAGTGCTGCCGTATCTTCATTTAAGACATCGTTTAAACTGCCTGACGAAGTTTTCGTCTATCAGTGGTAGTTTTGAGTTTTGCGTTCGCTTGCCTCACGACTGCTTCCAGCTTGCGTCTTGGGAACGTCCCTACTGCAACCCTCTTGTCACCTCTTACCCTCTTTTTGATTGCTTCTGCACATCGATTTAAAATATTCGAGTCCCCGGCGATTATCACATGCTGTGACTTTTCAGCTGGAGCGTCCTGCACCTGGGGGTTACTTGCACCTGTGACATCGGCTGCTTTGTCCCCTCCCAGCCCCACCACTACTTCGCTGAAGCTGGGCCTTGTGACAAGTGAACCGGCTGAACCTGTTTTTTTTCCAAACTTGCTTGCTTGCTCTTCTCTGCCGTTCTGGTTGTCGGTGCCCTACTGTTCTCTTCGTCGGCCGCTCCTTTGTTCACCTTGGCTAGTGCTTCCTCGGCGGACTTCAGCCTTTCTCCCATTGCCCTCGTTTTTTCTTGCTCTGCCACCAACACAGTCTTCAGCTCGGTGGTTCTCAACAGCAGTTCACTCTGCTCAACCATCGTTTTCTCCATTTTTTTCTCGACCTCGTATTGCCTACACTTTGCGTCAGCCTCCTCTCCGTTTGGTTCTGCACTTGGGTCCATTTTCAAACTCACCCAGCATTCTGAACACTTTACAGCCTTTTTAACCCTGTCTTTATTACACCAATTGTCCTTAAGACTTGTCTCACTCGATAATTACAAAACACGATCCCTTCCCTACAAGAAAGTGTAAGCTCTACTACAAACATTTGCGTGTTCAATGTACGAGCACCTCCCCCGTAGGGTGGCAGGATAAAAAAAACACAAAGAAACAAACACACACATACGCACAAACTGGTAAATACCTGGTGACTGACCCCCGGAAAAGCTGTACAATGTAATAAGTGCTACAAAGATTTTCCATGGCGCTGCGGCCTAACCTCGCTTAGGCTTGCTAAAACCAAGGTGGTTACACCAAGCTAGTTTAACGTGGCAACCTTTTCTTGTCAGAAAGGGCTCAAAGTGCATGTTTTTGTTACTATATTTTTAGTGAGCATCGAATTCGAGGTTAATTTAATTGGAGATTAAGCCACCAATATTCGTCTCTGTAGGTTAGTTAATCAGAAACAACTTTTTTTTTATTCATGATTAATGTGCGCAGGTTTCCTCCTCAATTAAAAAGAGTTCTTGTGTGCCGTTCCTTCAGTACAGTTGTGGAGGTGGCTACCTACTACTAAGACGACGACTACTGCTACTACTGCTAATACTACTACTACATACATCGCGAACGCACGACCCACGGCTTACGAAGCTTCACCCCTAAAACGAGCGCAATGTTCTCTCCAAATATTTCTTGTACTTCTTATGCACTTCTGTGATCCAGCCAGTGGTTCCAGTGACAACAATAGTGTACATGCTCTTGATTAGCCCATATACGCAAAATATGAAACATGATTTGACTCCCGCACTGTTGTCATGCAGTCGGCCCATCGCTCTTCCTTGTCTCGCATGAATATTGTGTACGATCAACCAATCACACTTCATTTTGTGTGTTTACAACTGCCCAAGCAGCGATAACAGAGAGTAGACGAGAAGCACGAAATCCTGATAGGCTCTAACAAAGATGATAGAGTCACTTACTGCTTACCCTCTGATCGCCTTGAAGTGACCAGAGGATAAGCATGCTCATCATTTTAAACCAATCAGCTTGCAAGCACAACCATTCTCTCGCATTTTCGTAGAACTATTTGGCCATTTTCCCACATCAGCACTAGGCATCAAATGGATAGACATGAAGTGGCATATCTTGCTACATTGATTCCTGATAAGTGTAGGAATTTCCATTTGTGTATCAAATATAATTCCATGTATTTTCTTTCTCGTGTTGATCGGAAATTTATTTATGGAATGTAAAGCTTGGTTTGGTCTAAATTATAGTCCTGTTGACTGAAGTGACCAGCTGCTGTTTTTGGTAAATTGTGTTTTGTGTCTGCATGGTGGCCGGTCAGTCTTACATGATTGAATTGGCTGCCCGGTCTCGGCTATAGTATATTGTCTTCCACAGGTGATACACTTAAGACAGTATATAAGGTTGTTTGAATTGCAGGTGAAGCTCGATGTAACCTTGAGAATGTAATCAGATGCTGTGCTTTTTAAGCTGGTAGCCGGCTGTATATGTTTGCTAGCAGATCAACGGTATCAGCTGCAGGGACCAGACGTTGTCCTTGTCATTGCTTTGAGTTTTGCATATTATGTTCATACTGCCAATAAAAAAAATTGCATAAATTTGTAGTGGTATCTAGTGGTGCTGTCGCGTTCGAGCTCCAGGTTTATAGCTTGCATAGTGAGAATTGTTCTTGAGAACGCCGACAATCAGATACTTCGTATATCAATACCTCTGGATAAGACTAATTTCCACTAATGTAAAAAAATCTCGCTACATTATATACAATATTTTATTGTGCAAAAAAAAGGGTCAATGTATGTATGTACAATATGCAAGGCACAAAAGCTCCAGGACTGCGACATACATTGCTTGTGCTGTAGCATTTCATTTAGTTCTAAAAGCACGCTATGCACGCACTAGGGTTGAGCGAGTATTGCATGAAGCTTCTGACATTCACCGACGTGTTCAGGAGTCATTTGCTGCAGCTGAGCAAGGATCGCTGTACTTCCCGCAAGACTCTGTCTGAAGGCCGGCAGGTTGGTGGAAATGCCTTGAAGCAGCTGGAGGACCTTTAACATACAATATGTAATATGTAAAAGAGATAGCATCCATTTTTTTTTTGCATTTACCTGCATCAGACATTAACATTTTTTTTTCAACATGTGTAAGAAGTGCATGAAGACCAGTCTTTGTTCCTAATGAGACACGCTGCAGTCTGAAATCTTACGAACATGCAGCCAGCTACCTGTTTCAACACAGGTGCAAAACTTATTACCGATCACACAGGGTCTTTTGTTAGACCCTCTCACATCTAAACAGATGGCTGACTTCAGTAAAAACAATGAACTGTCCTTGATATTTCATTCTGAAAAGGAGTCAAGACTGAGCAAAAGTTTCAGTGTGTCATTGTCACAATAAAAAGCAACTAACAAAGCCAAATTCTGATTCAGTGGGCAGCCTCCTTGCTACTCCACTGTTATGCAAGCCACCCAAGGTCCAGAACATTGAATCCAAAATTTAATGCGAGTACACGTCCTGCAAGGCTATCCAGCATGCCCATCTTCGACCTGCTGCGGTAAATTGATCTAATAAGCCAGATGCAATAATCCCGAGTGGCCTGTGAACTAACCTCATTTATATAGTCCGCTCCTGGGGTCAGCAGAGGTACAATTCCACTAATGGCAGCAGAGATGTCAGCCAAATTATGCTGAGTCAGGAATCCTGGGAAGAATTCAAATGAAAGTATACTATACACACTCTAGTGCTTAAGCACAATCACACAAAGAAAAAGGCAAGACGACAGGACAGACGTTATAGCAGGATTTATAGTTTCATCTGCGGTCATTAAATGTTAAAAACGCAAGATCGTTTTAATGTGGCCAGCCACTCTTTCAATGCTTTATTCTTATTCATATGAGGTAATGTAAAATTGGTGTATAGGTGAAAAATGTTTCCTAAATCCCAACCGAACACACAAAAAGCATACGAAAACAAACACCACTGTCTGACCAAGGATCGACACACCTGTAGATAATGGAAGCACATCGGTTGGGTGAGCTTGAAAGTTGTCAACGTGCTTCGTAAAAGAATTTCACCAGTTGCGGAGTCAAGTGCTGCGCTCCATTCACAAAGGAGATCTATATCTAAAATGACATTATGAGTTGCAAAACTTAACACAGTGAATTCGGCTATGAAACGTTGTCTTCCTACAGTAAAAGAACTGAACGAGGACCAACAGGGTGCAACACGTCAGCTCAAACTCTACAAAAAGTTTCTTTTTGATCGCCACGAACATTACTTTATGGTCCAAAAAACAATATATAAAACGAAGACTCATTACCGAAACAGTAGCACCAGCGCCTATGCGTGTAATATTGTTTACACCGTCCCCACCCACCCAACCATCCACCTACACACACACCCCTTGCTCTTTCACAACATAGCAGAAGGAGACATTGGTAAACAGGTCGCACAAGCTAGTTTCCCAACTGAGGCGGAGAAGGTGGCAGACTACACAGGGACAGCACACGGTGTGATTGTGTTGGAGGTGGCGTAAGGCTTCACTCAGATGCTGGGAACTCCCACAATCTGCTAGACCACTGCTCTTGCAAACTATAGTGACAGGTGTGTAGATCGAGCTTTCATGCACAGGAGCTGGGTACGTAGAAAATCCCACACGAGACAGAGGTGCTCACAGCTGGCGGTGGCAGTAGTGCGTAATAGGTCTTCGGAGGTCGCATGAGTAGCAAACAGGTAGTTCTCGACTACCTGTTTGCTACCTGTTGTTGTTGGGAGCAGACGTCCGTGAAGTTGGATGCTGCTCTGCAAAAACATGTCTTGACGCTTGATAATAGTCTTCAGAATTATGCCTTGTTGGTGTAGGGTGGTACTCTAAAGCAACCTGCCGAGGTGATGATATCCGGCCTGATCATGATCTGCAGAGATACTGGAGGCTCATGCTTTGATATGCCTCCTCTCTTTGCGGTCTGCACTTGCCGTAACACTCTCGCATCCATTATGATGGCGGTTTGAGAAAATCGTCGAACAAGCATTGGTAGTAGACATTCCGTATTTGGAGCTCTGCTAGCTCCTCTCAAACTACCCAACAAACAATCAAGAGAATATCTTTACTCAGGCTGACGTGCATACTTTTAATGGTGGGGACTTTGTCCAAGTGCACGAACTTCAGTAGAATTCATGGTGTCTTCTAAGCTCAAATGCACAACACTGCTGCCTCGATTCCGATGGAGGGCTCAGGTCTTCCTTCATTATCAGGAAATAACTAGTATACATCTTCAGCTATGCTTTATAAGTTTTAACGATTGGCCAACTTTGTCTTCATCACACATTCGCATTTATGATCCTGCAAAGCTTCAATACCTCTTTGATGCAAGCAATGGCGTACCAACTCTTTCACGAGTGGGGGGGGGGGGGCTAGCCAGTGTGTACGTATGTGTGTGTGTATATGTATATATATATATATACATATACACACATGTATATATATATATATATATATATATATATATATATATATATATATATATATATATATATATATATATATATATATATATATATATATATATATATATATATATATATATACATTTAGAGAGAGAGAGACAACTTCTCCGATGCGCTAGCACTTTAATGAAATCTTTCATACACAAAGAACTTGTTCAATAGCGTAAAAAAAGGACAGCCAGATTTAGGCAGCAGGCACTGGCACAGCACGTATATGTTTGTCATGCATGATACATGTATTAATATTACACACGACGATATTTACGCATTACCTCACAACTTTCCGTATGAATACAATTATGTTAATGGCAGCCTCCTCGACAGTAAATATTTTATCATTGAATGAAATTTTTAATGACTAAAACAGCTCACAAATAATTCATTGTGGAACCAAAGGCATTTTGAGCATTTCTATCTACTTACTTTAGCTTTCTACAGAGCTCGAGTACACCGCTTTATTAGTCCCCACTTTGGAAGCTGCCCCCATTGCTCCAAGCTGCCATAAGCAAGGCTGATCAGATTTATCGGAGATTAAAGCAGAAACCTTTCTTGGCATTTCTAGTAGGGCAACACTAAAATATTTAGAAAGATTAGTCGCAATGATGTGCTCACAGCAGCTTCGACAGGGCAGCGGGGATGGTAATAAAAAAAAATTATTTTCCTGAAGCAGCAAATGCTTTGACCGGTACATAAAAAGTTCGTTCCCATCTATAATTGCATCGGCCAGTCACAGCAGAATAAAAACATGAACAAGTGATGTAACATATAGGGCCCCTATTCAGCGCTATCCTGCTCTGCAGTGCTACTGCACAGGCTGGAAAGCGTCTCAAAGAGCCTTCAAGGAAAATCGTCACTGATGAAATGTTAAAAAATATCGCTTCATTGTACCTTTGCCTCGTAATATTTTCCTTTTCTCGTAACATTATAATTGAGTGATTACAGTGGTGAAGGAAAGTTTTGTCTTAGTTGATGTTTTCCCCAGCGTGCAGCCAACAGTGACCACTGTCGAAAGTGGGGGGCGGGGAGGGTCCCTTGCCTCTCTGGCTGATAGGCCTATGGATGTAAGTTGTGCATGTTTTGCCACATATGCATCGGCAGGATTTTTCACAGCGGGGTGCGAAACCTTCTTGCACCTGAACTTTGGTATGAGCGGAATGCTAGTATAGCTTAGGAGGGCACAAATTCTAGTGTGGCCTGAAGGGGGGCAACAGCCCTTATTGCACACCCGGCCAACACCCATGTTTCGCCGGGTGTCTTGATTGATTGACATGTGGGGTTCAACATCTCAAAATCACCATATGATTATGAGAGACGCCGTAGTGAAGGGCTCTGGAAATTTCAAAAACCTGGGGTTCTTTAACGTGCACACAAATTCGAGCACACTGGCCTATAGCATTTTTGCCTCCATCGAAAATGCAGCCACCACAGCTGGAATTCGATTCCACGACCTGCAGGTCAACAGCTGAGTACCTTAGCCACTAGACCACTGTGGCGGGGCTCATCAGGCAGCTGAGCTTTACACGAGAGCGTTCGCTCAGCTTTCTTTTTCTTTGAAATAGTGCCCCAACCAATGCCTTCGATTCCTGAACAAAAATATTCCAAGTCATGAGGGCGTGTTCTTGACTCTTGAACCAAGGCAGGGCGGTCCCAGCTAGAAAGAATGCTACATTCACCAGTTTTGCCGGCATACTTTCATCTCTTTTACCTGACAATATACGTGGTTCAGGTGCCCAGCAGTTAGGTTGTCGTGGTCTGTGGCCAGGTTGTTCCAAGACTGTGGCACTGGTTGATACAGCAGCGTTGGCCATTGGCAAGCCTGCTTCGGTGTCAGTCATTTTGGTGTTTTCGGAGGGCAGACTGGCTAGATGTCTGCCATCACATCCTGTTACGGATGTGATGGGTTTATTTGCAATGCAATGTAAGCACTGAAGAGAACACAAGGAACGGTTGCAAACGGCCAGCCAGCAATCCCTCACGCCACTTGCACTTCTTCTTCCTTCTTTATTCACCCTTTTCAAGCACCACCTTACAATATCATGAACTTTTTAGAGAATGCTTTCCATCTTACTGTAATGCAAGTGCTGTCCAGCATGCCTGACAGCTTCCCATAGAAATAAATTTTGTGCACACAAATTCATCACAAACAATTTTAGAAGCTAGGTGCTGTGATAGGCAAGTGTAGTGTAAAAACTTAAATAAAGAGAATGGTGACCCTGATTTACTTAAAGCAATGCATGCTAGAAATTAATTTCTTTCTCCCTTTGCAGCCACATGCCACTTAGTGTGTACAGAATAGATTTTCTACATGTATGACAGGGCTGCAGTATATGAAGGCCGTTGCGCACTTAAGCCTGGTCAAGCTGTGCTAGTACGCAGTGGAGACAGGCTTTGTACCACACAAACCAAGCCGATAAATAATAGCCAGACTTGGACATAATACAGAATGCGATCAAATAAATGGAACCTCAGTATACATCTCCCAGGCTTACAAAAACTAACATTTTATATGAATTGTTTTATATGGTCAAACATCACATAAAAATATCATGCATTAAAAGCCTTGGTTTTATGACACTTTCTTGCTTTGGGCCCGGCACATACAATACTTTTCGTACTGTATGAAGGAAGGGTAGACCATACAAACTTGAGTCTAATGGGCATCCAATTCTAGCATGTTCGGAGTAAAAATGCCCAAGAACATATTGATATTCTGTAGCTTTTCGATACAGTTGAACTTCATTATAGGAGTCCTGTACTACGGAGCGATTCCTGTCTTCTATATGAGCTGTCTCTTACAAGCACAGCAGCACGTGTTCATTTTCTTATCCACCTATATTTTAATGTAGAAACACTGGTGTCTCTAATACCCATTTGTCTGTTACATCAGTGTCTCCTATAAAGAAGTTTGACTGTACAATAGATTGTTGCTAAACGGTACATGAAGGGACCAAAAAAGTATGTTCCATTTAAAAGATGTTCTGTTTGCTGAGAAGTAAACAACAGTGCAGAATACACACACACAAAACCAATCTTGCCAGAAGCACTTGTTCTGTTAAAGTACCAGTTACATTTAAGAGATTTCCATTTACTGAGAATATACGGTATAAAACATATGTGCCCCTGCAGTGATGATTAGAAGAAAACGAGACAAGCACAATTTGTCTTCTGGCGCCTAATTGCCTTCTGATGGCTAA